GAGGCTGGTGGCGCCTCCGTGCCCCGGGCTCTCTGGGGTCTGGGTGTGGGACGAAAGGCGGCAGGGTCCCCGAGGTGAAGCGAGAACAGGAAGCAGACGGAGAAGGGCTGCCGGGGTGGGCCGTGTCCAGCAGACTTAATTGCAGGACTTCATAACAAGGAGAGTAGTGCTTCATCTGAGGAGTCACATCCACCTACTCGAGCCAGTGAAGGAAAGTCGTCAAAAATTAACGACCCTCAGCACCACATAAAAATAAGTAAATAAGATAAAGCTAACTGTGAACACATAATGTATATGTAAAAATATACATATATTTAGAATTTGTAAGTATATATTGTAAATATATGTATTGTATATGTGTTGAAAATATATATATGTTAAATTGTTGAACTTTTGTCCGTGCAATTATTTTGGTTATTATCTGGTAATATTCCGTGTTTGTCGTTGTAGAAGTAAATGCCAATGAGATTAAAGGGGAGTGGTGGAAGTGACCCTAAGGACAAGATCAGGCCTGCGGGGACAGACACAGATGGTGTTACAGCTGTTGACTTCATGCAATTTTGGCACCTGCTGCTGGACAGGCTAGGGAGCTGGGCCAGAGTGGGCATTGGCTCCCAGTCCCCCTGTTTATCACTCCAGCCCACCTCAGCTTCCAGAGAGGCATCAGAGGGAAATAAGACCAGACCACTATAGGATAAGGGTGAATTAGGTTCTGCTCTCTGTTCCATCCTGCCATGGAGCTGGACTTTTGTTTCCTACAAGGCCAGAAATGATCCCTGTGGCAGAGGGGACTGAAAGTGCTCTTGGGATGGATTTATTTCATCAGCAGTGCCACTAAGTGCTCCTGCTTCAGAGTTCTAACCCTCAAGATGATGGCCATAGGAAGTGGGGTCTTTGGGACCACTGAGAGGCCATGTGCCCCTTCCCACACACAAGGACACAACACTGAGCCAACAGTCAGACTTTTCCAGATACCAGTTTCTGCTGGTGCCTTGGGCTTCAGCTTCCAGAACTGTGAGAAATTTGTTTATAAGCCACCCATATGGGTATTTCTGCTGCAGCAGACTAAGCCAGTGTTAAGTGAGTGCCCCCCACCCCCAGATAGGAACTTGCTCCAAAAAAAGATGGGCCTTGGTGGAACAGGCATTAGAACTAGCCAGAAGGGTCTCACTGGCCCGAGCCAGAGCTCTGACTATGTGAGCACTAGTAAGTGCTGACTGCTGGATTATGGCCACAATACGGGGCATTGCCAGTCTGCCGTGTGGGTGTGAGTGGTCGCCAAGTAAGTGGGAAAATAGCACAATTCTTCCTGAATTCCAATTAATAAAAATAGCACGTGTGAGTTACTGGGTTCCATCCCCAATACTGGGGGGAAAAACAAGTCAATAAATGTAGAAGGAAGCAGTCACCTTTATTTGTGACAGGTATGAATCCACTGATAGTTGCTAATGTTAAGTAGCAAAAGTTTGAGGTGAAATAGTATTTGCATGGTTTCTGAATGTCTCCCCTAAAGTACTTATTTTCCTAGCTTTCTATTATTGCTCCAACAGATTGCTTCAAATTTAATGGTTTAGCTGGGCACAGAAGTGCACATCTGTGATCCCAGCTGCTTGGGAGGCTGAGGAAGGAGGATCACAAGCTTAAGGCCAGCAATTTTATTTTTCCCCTGGGGCATTGAACCCAGGGCCTTGTGCACACAGGGAAAGCACTATACCAATTGAGCTATATCCCCAGCCCGTAGGCCAGCTTTTTTGAGAGCTACACAGTTGTGGGTACAACAGAGCACCATGCTGCCTGCTTCTGCTCCTGACTCACTGCTGTTCGCTCGCCAAGCAACAAATTAGGAAACTGTGCCACAGCCATGGCATTTAAAGACACCCATGGAACCAGAGATGGCAATTCACCAAATTAGAATTACCCTCACCAGCGGTAATGTGAAATCACTTGAGAAAATGTGTGCCGACTTGATCAGAGGCTCAAAGGAGAAGCATCATCTCAAAGTGAGGGAACCTGTTTGCATGCCTAATAACACTTTGAGAAGCACCACAAGAAAAACACCTTGTGGTGAAGGCTCCAAGACAGGATTGTCTGCAGATGAGAATCCACAAGGACTCATTGACTTGCACAGCCCTTCTGCGATTGTTAAGCAGATTACTTCCACCAGCCAGGAGTGGAGGTGGAAGTCACCATTGCAGATGCCTAAGTCAACTGTTTTAATAAATTATTAGTTGTTGAAAAAAGAAAAAAGTGTAAGGCCAGCCTGGGCAACTTGATGAGATCCTGTCTCAAAAATTTTAGTTTTTAAAAAGTGCTGGGGGCGTGTGGCTCCGTTGTAGAATACCCCTGAATTCAATTGCCAGCCAAAAATAAAAATCAAGGGCTCAAAATATGAATTTATTTTCTTATTCCTCTGTAGGTGAGAAATGCAGTCCAACCTCAGGCTTGCTGGGCTGAAATCCAGGTACTGGTACAGCTAACGACTCCTGGGGGATCCAGAGGGGAATCCTTTCCTGCCTTTTGCACACCTGTCTCTCTCTCCCACTTTGAAGGACCCTCATGATGATATTAGGCCTATGGGGATAATGCAGGAAGCACCTCTTACAATTGTAGACTGGCAACTTCCATTCGCTTGTGAGACAAATCACAGATTCCATGGGTGAGGACTTGGGCATCTTGGGAACCATCATTCTGCCTTCCACAAGATTTAATAGCTACCAAGGGAAAACTAGTAATTTTAAAGTGGAGAAACCAGATCAGATCACCACCAATGAGACTTGCTGATCCCAGGAAACTGTGAGATGATACACTGAAAGACACACCTCATTTCTCTGGTTTTCTTTGCCAGAAATGCACAACCCAGTCCAGTCATGAGAAACTGAGGAATAGTCAGCAAAGTAGCTAATGGGTACTCCTCAGAGCACAAGGTAGTAAAAGGAGGAAATGAACTGCCACAGGCTGAGGAGGCTGAGGAAACACCAGTGTGTGAGCTTCTGGCAACATTAATGGAAAAACATTCACATTGGCTTTGGTTGGGTTTGTAACACACCAGTGGCAACTTTCAGAGGCCCACAAGGGGACCCTCAGTCCAGGAGATGGCCACTGTCTCACAGAGGCCCTTATTCTACTTGCCACGAGACGATTAGCTTTTAGAACAATGATGCACACCTTTCCCAGCACCTAGGAGGCTAAGGCAAGAGGACTGCTTCAGCCCAAAAGCTTGAGACCTGCCTGGGTAACTTGGAAAGACCTCAGTTCAAAAAGAAAAGAAAAAAAAACAAAAACAGATTTTGGGTTTGTGAGGGATTCTGGTAGTGGGAATTGAATTCTTGGCCTTGGCTAAGGCTTCACTCTATCACTGGCTGCATCTCCAGCCTCCAGAAAGCAATGAGCACCTGAGCCAGGCACTTAGGGCTCAGGTTGATAAGATGGTAGAAACCCACAGGAAGTGTCAGCAGAGTGCCGCAGCTGGAGGACTGGGGGCTATGGAGGAGAGTGAAGGCTTAGGTGGAGTGGCCTCATGGAGAGACAGTGACTTAAGTGCCTACTCCCTGCCCTGCAGTGCCCTCTGCATGATCAGGGTCAGGTTGCACTGATGGCTCAAGTCATCCCATCTCTTATCCCACCCTCGCCATGAGGCCCACTTGAGCTGGGAGAGATGAGGCTTCTTTGTTTTAAGCCCC